CTTGCTTCTAGCATTTAACTTGATAAGCAGCCATTTGTTTCCCATCGGACAGTGCACGGACCAGAGCCAGTTTCTCTGTGAGAGGAGAATTTCTGAGAGCTGTAGTGATTTTAGTATGCAGTTTACATTAGACAGTCTGTGTACATCTGCACTGAAATACAACAAAAAACACTTCTACAGTGCACATCTCACAACTCAAACCACAGCATCTGCCACTGGAAGTAGCTCCTGCTAGCAAGCTACTTACAAAGTACTTTTTACTCACATCTAGAACAGTGTTTTTTAAATGTGGTCATGTTGGTTAGTCAACTTTTTTTTTTAATCAGTGATTGACTCGCAAAAATTAATAGTTGTATAGCCCCTACTGGCCAATCCTAGTACAGCTGGTCCAAACATAGGGAAAAGACATGCACTCATTGGTTCTTCTGTTATGATCTGATAGCCAATCATATTTAATGTGAAATATCACTTGTTCATCAGCTCCTCTTTAACTGCTGGCCAATGCTAGCACTGGAAAAAATATTTGTGCCTATTGGCTCCTCTGTTGAAAGCTACTACATAATACTGCCACTGGAAAAATAATGTGCTCCCCTTGGCTCCTCTGTTGAAAGCTATAGTCAATAGCACAGGAAAATTCTCATTGGGTCCTCTGTAATGACCCTCTAGGCACTCGTGCTCAGGAAAAGTATCAGTCATTCCAGCACCTAATATTCCTGTGGTTTTGAAGTTCCAGAATTCTATGACAGAAGTTAATTTTTGGCGTTTTCTTGGTGGAGTGAATGGAGGGTGATGGTAAATAAATAGCTGGCGGGCGAGAGGCGTGTGGGTCCGCATCTGTAACAGCGTGAGAGCAGTGAAATCTATGCTGCTTTTCAGCAGACATTAGGGAGCAACAGAGGCTTTTAGAATTTAAAGCGAGTGCAATCTCTTTTGTTTGTTTTCCCATTTGGAATTAGGTTTCACAATGATAAATGCAGAGAGAGAGAGACAGTATGAGAAAGGCAAAAACAGAAACTAGGAGGCAGGTAATAGCTTATTGAGATTCCTGTGGCTGCTGTAGAGGAGAGAGGTGTCGGGCTGTATCAGTGTTGTGCTGTGGAAAGGTGAGGCGGCCAGCCAGAGGGGGATATTGTACCTCAGTGAGAGAGCCAGAGAGACAGGGAGAGGGAGATTAATGCCAGTGATTTTGAGTTAGCAAGACCTGTACAGTCCTGAGCTTGCTCGCGTTAGTCCACACTCTTCAGGGCAAGTCAACAAACCTCTAGTCACTCCAGAAGTTTTGCAGTTCATAGTGAGTTCTAGAACTGAGCAACTTGAATTTTAAGTTTTGGATTCACATTTTCATGGTTTCTCACATAATTTTGCAGTTAGAGGAGAAAATGGTGAGCTCTAATCTTCTAGGTGAGTTTTATGTGGGCTGTATTTGTTTCAGAAAAAAGTTTCCAAAAAAGTTGTCTTTTTTTCATTTACTTTTGTATGTACAGTGTCCCCAAAAAGCATGTGGACATTTGCTATACTTAAAAGTGCATTAAGTTCATTGTGTTAGGAAGCAAAATGTCAAACTAAGTGGCATTCATTTTAAGTAGACCATTTCAAGAATTATTGTTTTTTGGCAAAGTATTCTTTCAAATGGTGGCTCATTGTTATCGTTTGAGCAGTTTCTTGGCAGACATCTGCAGGTTTGCTGCCGAAATGCTTTTGTACATGATCATGAGTTCATGATTCCATAAACAAACACACCGATGTAAGAAAAACAGCCCCAGACTTTGACATTTTCACCTCTGTGCTTTGCAGTAATCTTAATGCAGGCCGGTTGCAATTCTTCTCCAGGCTTTCTCCACACAAAGTGCCTACCACTTGATGTTGAGAACTTTTTAGCAAATACTTCTTGGGGCCACTGTTTGTGCAGTACAGTCAAGAGATGCTGTGAGAATGTTCCACATAAATCTGCAAGCTAGTAGATTTACAGATCAGTAGCAGCAGATTTCTTTGAGTATCAAATTATTATTTTTTTTTATTAACTTGGCTATTTGTGTTCTTTTTATTACTTGAAATAGACAAAACTGCACAGGAATGTGAATAATTATTTAGGATTTCAGCTACATGTTTTGGTCCACAGTGGCCTTGTACTAAAAGGGTTTAATTATTATTTACCAATGTAGAGTGAAGTGCCAGTCATATGAGGAGTAGTCGCCATCTAGTGGTTGAAGCGGATAGCAACAGATGCTGCACTTCTTGATGCATCAGAAATGCCTGTAATGTAATGTCCTGTGTAAAAACACTGGAGTTTGAAGGTGTCATTAAAACCATCAGGTTATAGACTGAAATGTACTTTGTGTACTGGGAGGTTGAATGGCTGTATTTAGTCACAGTTTCTGTTTTCCATGAAGGGGCTGTTTATCTGTACTGTGTCAGACTAAGCTACACGCTTCTGAGACACGGCTTGGCCTGGGGAGAACTTTCACTGTGGGCTTAACAGTTAAACTGGCCCAGTTAGAGAGAGGGGAGGAGCGAGGCTGGAAGGGAGAGATATTGAGAAAAAGGGGAAAAAAGACAGAGGGAGAGGGATGGAGGACACGATGGGGAGGAAGAAGAAGTAGACAGGAAGATTTTGAAAAAGCAAAGAGAGGAAGAGAGAGTTCTGACCGTTCTTTTGGCTTTGTGTACTTGTTGGTGTGCTTTCTAGTAAGTGACCGAATGTGTCCTATTTATATGCAAAAGTGCAGTGTGCAAAAACACTAAACACATCCTTTCCCCACCTAATGTACAGGGCTGTGTATTTGGCTCGATAAACCCCACGGTTCTACATGTTAACGTACTAACACATTGTTTTGGTAATATCAGAGAAAAATATTGACATTGCAAGAATGTCCACAACCTGTCCCTGCAAGTGTGGACAGACAGAGAGAAAGAGGGAGGGAGGGGAAGAAATGAGAGAAAGGCCTGTCTCCTCATCATAAGTAGGTCAGAGAGGAGTCAGAGCAGAGCTAAAGGCAGCGCTAGTGGATTAGCCTGCTGCACTAAAAAAGCCACGTCTTGAGCATCGTCACTTTGTGTTATCGTCTGTAAACATCTGAGAGCAGCTGTCTCCATGCTCCAGTTGAAATTGTCAGAAGTGTCACAGCTGGAGATACACCTTTGTTTGATTGGTTGGGTCTGACAGTCCACCTGTACATGGCTTTACCATCACTTCAGCTTAGTTTAAAACTAATCAAAACTAAGCTAAACAGTGCAGAAACAAAATCTGGACAACAAACATGTCTTGGCTGATTGATTGGGTTTAGGGCAAGGGGAATATTTGACTTCCCCCATACTCTCTTTAAATCAGACCCTACCTTTGTAGTCCATCGTGAAGGCCTTGTGTGAAAACAATGACCTCCTCAGGCATGCTGAAGACCATTCTTTGGAATTAATAAGTCAGAGATATCACTTGTACCTGAGACATTGTTACTTATTCAGCTAATCCTCAGCTTAAAATATTTGCCTGCACCTGATGGGACCCGACTTCTTGATTCAGGTGTGGATGTTGTTTTTTTAATATCTCTCAGACTCGGGTCAGATTCAAATTTTTAGTTCTGACAGCGCATCTCACACTTTTAACAGATTTTACCCTGCATTCTCCCTGCATTAGTTTTCCTCCTTACTTTATTCTTCCCTCCTACTTTAATTTTTTATAAGATTTTAATCTGGCATTTTTCATTGTTAACCAAATTTAGCAAGATGTACAAGGTCTGCAACTGTGAGAAAATGGACTCATGAGGAAGAAACAGTCAGTTGATTCAGGAAAGGCTGATGAGGGGTGTCACTGTCGATTGCCTGAATGTTTGAGTAGTCCATGAATTATTTTGACTACTAATCAAGCGAAATTATTTTGTTTTTGTGTGTTAAATAACAAAATTGTGCTTACCTGAAAAATAGCTATTTTGCAAATACAGCCATTTTATTTACTATCCAAAACCACCAGTGAACCTACAGGTGTCTTCTGAGTTTATACATGTAAAGTTGTTTTTTGGGGACCGTTTAGAATATCCTCCACATATCCCTCCACCATGAATGGATTAAACCAAAACTTTGTAACACAACTGCTTTAAAGACAATGTCTCAGACACCAAGCAGTATATTTATGACCATCTCATGCAATAACTTTCTATGAGGGAGCTTTTAGAGGTGGACATCTGGTTTCTATCACCACCACTGTCAATTCTGCCACGAAAATTTTCTCTAGAAAAGAGTTTTTTACACCGAACCACTCTGAATGACTTTGTTTACATGTTAACCATTAAATCATGCAGAAATTTTGAAAAATGAGTGGAGTTAAATTCCCTTTAGCTCTGCGTATTACAGTTTCAAATACAATTTTGTTGGACTAGGGTCAGTTGCGGACTTGGACCAGATGTGGACCAGATTCAGTTTACACAAAATTTTAGTGGGCTCGGGTCAGGCTCAGTTTGGGTTTGGTTCAGATTCTGACTTGGTTCTTGATTCTGACTTGTAAAACTTGATGCTGTGGATTTTCAGGCTGTTTTTGGTTTCAAACCGAATATTTAGGTCCGATAAAAGCTTCGTTGCAAAATATCATGTTTACAGTAACCTTAGCAGAGCTCCCTGATTGTGACTTTGTAGGTCTAGACTACTAGAGCTTTCCATGACCCACTGTATGAAATGTGTGTAGTTTTGTGCTTGTGCTTGGGTTTACGTCCCTGTGCGCATATGTGTGTGTATGCTCCATCGCCGTCTCTAGGAAACCACTCGGAAATGGGACAAATACTGTGTAAGTAGAGCAGTCCCCTATTGGGCATCAGCCATTGTGCTGGAGCATACGCTAGACTGCGAGCCAGCGACCGTCCGTCCGACCGGCCTGAGTGTGTGTCTGTGTGCGTGAGCCTGCCTCTTGCGCGTGTGTGTATGTATACAGTGTTGTAGGGCGGCGTGTGTGTGTCGGGAGAGATGCTGAGCCCCACGGACTCTGAGCTAATGTACTATTGGACCTGTATGTACAGGGAGCCGAGGAAGATCGTGCTGCATAAAGGCTCCACTGGCCTGGGCTTCAACATCGTGGGCGGTGAGGACGGTGAGGGAATCTTCGTCTCCTTCATCCTGGCCGGGGGTCCTGCAGATCTCAGTGGAGAGCTGCGGAGAGGAGACCAGATCCTGTCTGTAAGTCTGTTTCGGAAAAAACACACACGCCACAGAGATACATAAATTGACAAGGACATACAAACCCAAGCCTGTTGTTGTGACCAGAATAAGGGTTTGAATCACTGCTTTATGGTTAACATGCTGTCCATTTGTAATATTGGCTATGCATTTTATTATCTTTCTCTCTGCATATGTACACGTACACACACACACATACGTTTGTTTTTAATACTTTGTGAGTACATGGGGTCATGCGTATGTCCCATGTGTATGTGTGTATATATATATATATATATATATATATATATATATATATATGTAATAGGAATTTTAGGCATTACCTTTTCCCTAACCCTAATCTAAACCTCAGTAATCAAAAAGAAATGGTTTGTGCCTTCAGTTCTAAACAATGAAAGCTTTAGACTAAGTCAAGATCATTTTGCTAGTCCTGGTATTGTAGGTTAGCCCTGTTTTCTCTTTTTTTCCTACACAGTCAGGAATGGTTTTGTCCGAAAAATGTATTTAATCAAACAGACAAACACCCTACATATAACAAATAAGGCATCAGTTTATTTGTATTCTGTTTTTTCCATAGCAGTCTAGATCCTCTGTCCAACAGCAGAGGGAGCTGTTACACCTAGTGTATCAATATGAACACATCATCAAGAGCAGGAAAGTTAAAATAAAGAGTTTTCAAGGAGGTCAAAATTAATTATGATTGCATTGCAAATAATACTGCATGAATTCTGGAGTAGTTGCATAAATTAAACCCTAGTGAGTCGGGGTGAATAAGTCTGGTCAGAGGGCTAATTAGCACCGTGTTTCTAAATTCTCAGTTTGAAACCTAAGAACTGTGTACTGCTGGAGGTAAAACTCTGGAGTCTGATCTCCTGGGGCTTAACTCATCATTAGGGCTCATCAGGGCCATATCATCAGGCCCTCATGCCTAACTATAGGGAGTAAATCTAATTGTGGAATGCCACAAACCACCCCTAATCAGACACCTTCAGTTCTTGTATTGCTCATAATCAGATGCTCAAAGTCCCCAGACCACTCCAAATCAGATGGGCTCAATCATTACCCCACTCACAATCAGTCCCGCTCTGTCTGCGTGTTCTAATGAGTCTGTTTAATGCCAATCACTAAGAACTGGCTGCAGTACTTCAGCTCAGAACAGTTTGAGTTCAACAAGACACTGGAGAGTGAAAGAAAGAGGGAAAGAAAGATAGAGTGGGTAGCAGGAAACAACTGGAAAGAGGGAGATGAGCAGAGAGAAATTGAAGGAGAAGAAGGAGAGAGTGGAAAAGTGGAGACATAAACAAAGGGAAGGACAGGGAGGAAGAAAGAGAGGGGGGAGGGCTACAAAAAATGAGAAACAGACAGAAAGAGACTGAAGAAGGACAGAGATGAAAAGTGGATAAATAACAAAACAGGGAAAAAGGCAAATGAAAGAGGCACAGAGAAAGACTGAAAGAGAAGAAGAAGAAGAAGAAGAAGAAGAAGAGAAAACATGGAGAGATAAGGAAAGGGAGGGGGTAATCAAGTATTCTAGTTATTATTTTGACAGTTAATCAGTTAATGTTGTTTTGGTATTGTTTTTAAAGACTAAACATTAATATTTGCTTAATTGAGGAATAACTAATGATGGTGTTCACTTCCCACACAATGTATATATTACTGCAGTCAGCTCTGCTTAAACACAGACATTTGAAACTTGTAGCAAACATTCTAGTAGCATATTCTTTACTTTGTATGTTGCAGTGAATCCTTTGGTGAAGCCTACCTCTCAATATTACTGGAGTAGCCTGTTAGCTGTCTGCTGAGCTGTAAAATATAAGCTTTTATTTGGCACTTTGGGTGATGATGGGCCAGCTCAGTTTTCAGGCCTGAAGGAGAGAAAGAGAGAGAGTGCAAGAAAGAAGGGGAAAGAAGCAGAGAGACACTGAAGAAAAAGGAGGGAGAGGAAAAGCAGAGAAATTTAAAAAAGGGAGAGACTTAGAGACTTTCCCAGACAAGGGGAAAGAGAGGCATGGAGAGGCTGAAGGAGAAGATATTGAAAGGGGAGATTGGCAGGGAGAGGAAGAGAGAAACTGAAAAAGAAGAATGGAAGGGAACGGCTGAGAAATAAAAGGGGGAGATTGAGAAGTAGAAAGTGAGGAAGAAAGACACAAAGACGTAGAGAGCAAAAAATCCATGAAAAAAAGCAGTGATCGATTGAAGGGGAAGAAGAAAAACAGAGAGGAAAAGTGGAGAAAAAAGAAAGGGGAGGGCCTGGGTGGGAGAGAGGGAGGAATCTAGAAAGAAAGATAATGGCGCGCTGGCCTGATTTGGAGTCTAAGAATAACTCTGGTCTGCCTCCTGAGTTCACGCTGTCAAATGAGTCTGAGTACACAGGGCATACTGCAGACATTCACATACACATGCACACAGGAAAGGCTGCATGAGCCAGAGTGCACAGTAGGATACGACACGCATGCTTACTCACACGCTTGAGCACACGCATGCCGATGCACACACACTTCGCCAGCCTTCCCCATGGTGAGCAGAGTTAGTGCTCTGTAGGATCCCATTATGAGTGCTTTATAACAGTGTGGCTCTACCACATGGCGTGTGCCAGCAACCAGCTGTAGAGTTACTTTCTCCAGCCTAATCCCACAAATCCAGCCCACAGCCCTCTGCTTCCAGCAGGGATGCCCTCCCACACACTTAATAGCTGCTTCCTTCACTGCTGAACCTCTAAAAATCTAGAGTTATTGTGGTCATTTACATTGCAGAATTACTTTCATGTTATTGCATAATTGAGTAATTAGTTAGATAGTTACATAACTTGGTTTCTGATAGCAGGTAAGTACCAGTTTTTGACTGAAAGAAAGTCCTGGCACGCACAATTTCTGTGTATTGTATGTATTTGTATTTACTATCTGGGTTGCTGGCATTTAATGGAAGATGACGTAGTGCTTTAGTTCTGATTCAGTAACATTCAGTAACAACTTCTATGAAAAATACATGTCTTTTTTTAATAAAAGTAAAAATATGCTGAAGGAAACAATGTAAGCAACAACTAGGCTAGTAAAAGTCACAGCAAGAAAGACTGTATGCCCTCATTCAGACAGCCAGTGGTTGTGTTTAGACGTTGTCTACATAAAACTGATGCATATTTATACTGATCTGACAGACTAGTTATTATCTGTTATCCAGAATGAATAAGTTATTTATTGTGATAAAACACTGAAATGTGCACTGGAGAAATGTTCTGGTTTGCTGTTTGTGCTGTGTTGCTTCCGTTTAAAAGAAGTGCTGGAGGAGAAAGAGGAGTAGTTTTTTTGTATTTAACCATGAGAACATCTTTAACTGCTAAGAAACTTCAGACACATTTGACTTTAAGTTGATGGACGCAGTGGACAACGGACAGATGTTTGAAGTAGCCTACCGCATCATGCGATAACACAGTGTAGATTTTGTGTTAATTACAATATATGATCAGAATTTTACCCATTAATTGAGAAAATTAAATTCTGGACATTGTGCCCAGCACCAAATTCCTTAGCGGAAAGTCTGTTACACAGTGACATTTACATTCACTTTTCATTCTGTACTGATGGGGTCGAGTCTGCACTTATATTTTCTTTGATTCAATGCCAAACAATGACAAAATCATGGAAAAAATGTAAAATATGTTTTTCTCTTCCTCAAAATGAAACTGCACCACAATTAACATTTCATCAAATTAAAATTCTAATAAAATATCTTCTCTTCTACATACAAACACAAATATTGTACGGATGAAAGTTTAGAACCTGCATTTTTGACAGAACTTCTCTGCTTGTGTCAATAAGCTATGACTGAGAAATATTCATTCATCCTCTTAAACCACTTGATCCAGCTAGGGACACGGTACTAGTAGGGAGAGTAGAGAAGCACAGATGACCCTGTCCCCTGCAAGTTCCTCCAGCTCATTCTGGGGGTCCCCGAGCCGCTCCCAGGCTAACTTGGTGATATAATCCCTCCAGCAGGACCTAGGATTACCCCAAGGTCTCATCTGCCTGGTAAACCTCAAAAGGGAGGCAGTCAGGGGGCATCCTCATCAGATGCCCAAACCACCTCAAATGGCTGCTCTCAATGTGGAGGAGTAGCGGCTCTACTCTGAGCTCCTCCCGGATGACTGAGCTGCTCACCCTATCAAGTAGAGTGTAGCCCACCACCCTGCAAAGAAAGCTCATTTCTGCCACTTGTATCTCATTCTTTCGGTCATTACCCAAAGCTCATGACCACAGGTGAGGGTTGGGATGTAGACCAACCGATAAACAGAGATCTTTGCCTTATAGCTCAGCGCCCTCTTCACCACTACTGTCCGGTACAGTGACTGCATTACTACTGCTGCTTGTCCCAGCCTGCGGCTGATCTCACGATCCCTTTTCTCGTCATGCATGAATGAAACCCTGAGATACTCTAAGAAATAGTTCATATAAAATTACAACATGCTTTTGTTATCATCAGTGAAAACTGCCACTTCTGAGGGTTAATTTTATCATATTTAATGGTCTGGTTGGTTGACATGATGTGAATATTTGTTTTATTATTTATTTGCACTAGTAAGCAGTGTGGTTATATAGCTGATTAAATGTCTGCAGTCGTATGCAGTTTGGGCGCCCTCGGTCAATTGATATTTTGTTGTTTTTCTAAGTGAAGTAAAAACAAAAAAATATAAAATGTGCCGGTGAAAATGTTGTCACATTTTATGTTTTACATTTTGTATTTTTTTCCAGTATGTTAAACTAAGCATATAAACCAACGGTTCAAATCTTTGCATATGACTTTAGCTGTGTACTGAGTTTGCTTACTGTAATAATGTAATGTTTGTATATTTTCCATGCAGGTAAATGGCATTGATCTGCGAGGTGCCACTCATGAGCAGGCTGCAGCTGCGCTCAAGGGGGCAGGACAGACGGTCACCATCATCGCCCAATACCGGCCTGAGGGTGAGTGTCTGACAGCACTCCTGACCAATCACAGAGGCCAGAAGTTACGGTGACTCTTAATTCAGTAAGCCACTCGGAGGTCATCCGTAGCCCCAGGCAGAACAGGAACACGACTCATACAGACATTTTTGGGGCAATCCTGGCCCTGTACGCTTTGAATCCCTCCCAACTCTTACAGAGTAGCACGTGGCCCCTGGACTTTTTTTTTTTTTTTAAGCTGCCATGTTTGATTAGTGTGTCTACTGGTTTGGCTGCTGCTCTGGACTTTAGAGATACTGACTCATCTGTCTGGATGCTGATGAAGTCAAGGAAAACAGATGCTTCAGTTTTACAGGCCACTTGTTGCCTTATGGTCTGAAAAGACTAGGAATCGATCCAGAACTGTGGTTGCATTACTGTAACATCTAAGCTGCAGCCAACCAATTCATAATAATATTTAATAGCATAAAAGACAAATCCTAGCATTACCTTGCAACTGCTGATATATAATCATATTATTTGTAAAGCATATTTGCAGGCCTTTTAGGGAAAGTTACTTTAATAATTTGGGCTGCAACTACTGAATATTCTCACTTTTGAGTATTCTGTTGGATATTGTCATGAATATTCAAAAATTCGAAGAAGCTCAAGATGTTTCACTTTTCACTCTGTTTGAATAGCCGTGAGTAGTGCAGGAGAGCAGAGGAAATAGCATCTTTTTAACCACTGTGTTTAAAAAGGAAACAACCTTTTGGTCAAGTTTTGTCAGTGACGTGAGAGCGATTTAAAGCCACTCAAGACCACATTATACTGGAGCATGCACTAAACTCGGCCACTCCGCCTTTATTGTTTAGTGCAGTCTGAATAATTGTCGTCCAGTTCTGAACATCTAGCTATCCAGTGTGTTCTCATAAATCAGAGGTGCAGAGCAGTAGGCCACTTATTTGGACTGCACTTAGAGACAGCCGTGCTCTGTCACAATCTCCATTATGTCCAGTGTGGAGAGCTGGCAGCTGCATTCTGCTGATGAAAACTAGCATTTGGCTTGATAAACCAATGTTTGTTTCTCCATTACAGTTGGGCTCTATAACAGTAATAAGGTACAACAGTATTTAAAAATGATGCTGGTATTTCAAAATGATGATCAAATTTTATTACACATCTAAGCAGCCAAATAAATACATTACACCCAATTCTATTTTAGATTAGATGGTGTGGGACCTCACCAATAGATGGTGCTGATAGAAAGAAGGGAAAATCGGACCTAGGAAAAACCTGTTAATCTTCTACATGAGTGTTAAAAAGGGGATACCACCCAACCCTATTCTCCAAGAATATGAGTTCATAAAAGCAGGAAATGTGTTGGTTATTCAAATGGCTTTTCCAATATTGTAATTATTGAGTGTATAGAATATTGTCAAATTGTTGCAGCCATATTTGTAAGTATTTAGAATCTCTCTATCCTCTCCAGGTGAGATGTAGTAAGAGGTTTGTGGGAGGTCCTTAAATTTTCCATAATAACCCATTTTTCCCTCCCTTTGGCGCTGAGTATGGTGGTGATGTGAGGTGTGAATGTGTGTGTGTGAATGCGTGATGAGCATGAGAGAGCAGAGGTGTTCTGATGTCTGCTCTCTTTTTTTACTCGTCAGAGCTTGCGTTGTGCTCTCCGCGCCGGGCCCCGCCTCCAGCCGCAGGTTTGTGCCATGCGATCAGTGCCTGGGCGAAGAGCTACCTGCAGCCCCAGCCCCACGCATACACATACACATGACTGAAACCTTCAACAGCCCAAAAGAACAGTTCTAGATTCCTTCAGTCATAGTGTTCAGCCAATTGATGGGTCCATGCTTCACCCGCAAATGCATTCTTTCATAGAAGCAGTTGCACAAGCTTATTTTGTCAAAATACCTACATTTAGCGTTATTAATTTTAAGTGATATACTTAGTATGCATGTAAAACTGTTGGAGTAGGTATTTTTAGGTATCATGTGCAATGTGCTGAAACATAGAGAGACTTTGTGTGGATTTAGGCTACTGCTTTTAATTGTCTCCATGTCACACTGTCACCAAGAAGCTTGACCTTGTTACTATAGCTTGAGGCAACATATGATTCTGCTTATTGTTTATCGTAATGTGTTGAACAAGGAAATTATATAGTAATATGACATTATGATTATATGACAATACTATATAGTATAGAGGTGTAAGTAAGATGTTAATTTAACCAACTAGCAACGTTAACAGCTGTACCAGGTGAAACACCTCAATGACACAAATAAACACCCAAGAAATTACCTTTCATTTAAAATACATAACTTAATATGACAAAAACTGAGCTTTGCCCTACAATTTCATTAGGTTGAATGAGGTTTTTGCCAATGTTCTGTAAAGCTTGTCCAGCATCTATGACAAAACACATTTGTGGGTGGAGCATGGTCATTATTCTTAAACTGGAACGATAATGTTCCAGAATGTGCCAGAAGGATTCTAGAACTCTGGTTTGTGTTTGAGTCTGGCAGGTTTTCAGTCGGGCTTTGGGGCGCGGGCTTGGTCTTGCCCAGAGGCTATGCTGATCATGGGGCTCTCACACAGGGAGGGGGAGAGAGAGCAGTGTCTCTCTGTTTGTGGACCACATTACTGACCTGTGTGCACTTTTCCCCTCTACCTCTGCCTGCTTGCAACCCTAATCCCAGCCACAGCTCTCCTCCCTGCGCTTACCCTCGCTCTAACACCCACCTCTAACCAGCATACTGCAGCACACATGCTCTAAAACACACAGCCAGTCTGCACAGCACTGCAGTATACTATAGACACACAAAATCAGTTACTTCACACTCAGCATGATAGAATAGAATCTTTTATTTAACCATGCGATAATAAAGCATTTCTCAGCTAATAATGGTAATTTATAATCAGTGCTGGGTAGTAACAGACTAAATGTAATCTAGAATGTGTAAGATAATTACCAAATCCTAAGTTTATACCATTTGGCACTAGGAAAATATATGTAATCATGTTACAGTTATGTTTTTTAAGGATTACTGTTTTTAAGAATTACATTTTTTAACTTCATGAAATTAGCTAATCTGTTATGAATCCAAAAGTATTTGGAAGTAATTGAAAGTAATCAGGTAAGATAACACCTTTGAAGTGAACTGAAAGATTACATTGGTGATTACATTATTAGTTGTGTAATCTGTAGTCACTACTGGATTATATTTCTCAGGTAATCCAACATTGAATTTCTTTGCATTTAAACCAAATTCAGACTGTAATAAAACTCTAAAAATGACAACTCTAAAAATGACTCATTGATCGATTTGCCATAGCACTTTTATAGCTTAATCAGACATGACAAATTTTGTAAACATTTACATGATTTTATTTAAATGTTTGAAATTATTTAAAAGACATATTCAGTTTTTCATATGTGGGGTATTGGTGTTATGGACTGTGCTAGCCATTTTACCCGTTTTGTGTTGAAAAATTGACCCCTAAATTAACAAATGTAAGTTTCCATATCGGACTGATAATAATAATTTACTTTACAATTTATCACCCATTAATTTATTGGTAGTACATGCAACTGTACTTTAAAAGATAATGTCATAGGCAAGACAATATCCACATTTACGTGCACACCAGTGGTTCGATATTAGTGTGGCTAAGTCTGCTGGTCTAGGAGTGGGTTCTATTATCATAGTCAAACTTATGGTCTTGCGCCCTATTTGAGCTGGATTAGTTTTACCAGAGGAGGTGCAGTAGTATAATTTGTTAGGCATTTGACTTTCTGATTTCTACACAATGAAGTATCTGTGTAACTTCCCCAAATACCCGTTCAACAAAAATGTTGTAGATGACAGTAGCTCTGTTTATAATATGAGGACAAAAGAACTGTGCCAAGTCAAGTCGAGTGCTAAGTCATTTTAATGCTTTACCTTGTCTCTCACTTACCAAAGAACAGAGGGGCCAATGTTGGTTGTCTGATTTCGAAAAACTACAGACCTTACAGATGCATACTGGATTAAAACCACTTATCTTGTTAGCAGAGGTAGGTAGAGTGGCCTAAATCAATGCTCACATAAAAGTATTGATAGTTGTGTAAAATAATGACACAAGTAAAAGGTAAAGAAGAACAAGAACAATTTTGAGTAGAAGTACAAAAGTATAAGGTCAAAAATACTTAAGTTCTGAGTCATTTATAGAACTGCAGTGGAACTTCCAGCATCTATATACAGAGGAACTGGATATTGTTAGGCTATTTTCTTCTCTTTTTCAGATTGTTTTTGTCTCAAATTAAATGTTTAAGATCCAAAGTCAGGAATGCGACCAATGGGATGTTTATAATAATTATTCGCTCACATGGACACTGCACCGGCTCTCTTTTCCTTCCTTATTTCTTCTTCTGCCCACTGTTCCCTCTTCAACCCTACCAGTTCCTCCACCTTACATACACCCACAGACACACACACACACACACACACACACACACACACAAATTCGCACGTCATGCACAGAAATTCAAGCTGTAGTGCTGTAGTCATGCTTTTTGTGCAGAGGACTCAGGCATTTAACTGTCTTTGGGTCAGTGCATGTTTGTTAGATGTACAATATCACCTCCTGTTGTTACATAGAGGTGTTAATTGCTGTGTTTGAGCAAATCATGTATATCTGGTATAATTTAAGAGCTGTGCCATATCCTGCTAACATTAAATCCTGCTCTCATCTTTTCCTCATTCTCTGTCTGAGTCTCATGCTGTCCTTTGGCAGACAGCAGAGGTCATCTCTAATAGCAGCGAAGCTAAGCTGAAACTGAAGCTTGCTAATGCGGCACATTATTCACGATAAGCTTTTTGTTCTGCTGCAGTGCAAACACAGTATGGGAGTATAACCCAGGCTAGCTAATCTCCCTGGAACATCTGATACAGTAGCATCATTTGCCTATGGAGGAAGCTGCATAACGCTCCCCTCTAGATGTGGGGCAGGCGGTGCCGCACCCTCGTCTATTGTCTAACTGATAGAGAAAGATTTAACCCATATGTGGGTCAGCGCTTAAATTCCTCACTTCTTCATTCACACAAACTACATAACGAAAATATTTGCTTCATTGAAGCTTCAGAATAATTCATAGTAGTTCCTAATAGTAACTGAATGATGGACCTGCAGTTTAAGGATTCAATATGGGTAGCATTAGGACCCAGGGCAGAGGCTCATTCAGGTATACAATAGGTGGAGGGGACTGTCCCTCTTGATACTGCAAACGAGATGAGCTAGGACATTTATTCTGAACACCGCCGCATATGATAAAACCAAACGGTTATAAAACAGACAGAAGATTTATATTATTTATAGAAAGAAAACTCTATAGCACTTCAATGGCCAAGCTTGGCTGCACTAAGGCTGCAGAAAAGGGCTGAGCAATATGACAATATTGATAGTTATTGTTATAAATTATGTCACAAAACACTTTTCTGAACATATATCGTGGATATCGTCAGTATTTAAAAAGACCTCCTGAAGTCTTGTTTGTTTACATAGAAAGTATAATGCATCCTGTTTAATTGGATTTAAAGCAGTATGAGATGTGAAAGGCTAAATACAAAACCTTGGATTCATAAATTTATTAGTATTTTCTAAATGTGGCACTGCTTTGTCTGTTTTAACTTGATGTCAGAAGAAATATATATTGTGACACTGTGTAACATGAAAACTTCTTAAAGTATCATGGTATTACATTTTTGTCCTATTTCCCAGCTCTACTGCAGAATATAGTAATGCCAAATGAACCAACTGTCAAATCTTTAGGACCAGCCAAGGGCAAGATCTTCAACTAGGGATACACAAATAAATTATGCGAATAAATTGATATTTCAGCTCATTTTATTGTGAACCTCAAAGAATGTCTGGGGACAGTCAGGCCATGTTAGGCAAAATGGTGAAATCTAAGCAGAGATTAGCCTTGAATTCCTGGCAATACAAAACTTCTAACATTCATATAACAGTTGGTATGGACTCAGCCCTCTTTCTTGAAGGATGTCTCATTTTTCTAGGAAAGGAGGAGTTCAAAGAATGAGGTGCTAATTCAAAAAGAACATGCAAGTATGTCCTGTTTGGAAATCAGAGATATTGATGTCTTTTATCAAGTCAGTCAAATGAACCTGAAAGAATAACTTTGAGCTCACTTCCTTTAATATCCATTTTAGATGATGTTAATGCCACTGGCTACAGGGGCTTGCTTGCATATATATATATATATATATATATATATATATATATATATATATACCATACAGCTACATATAATAACCTTTGTCTTCATTTTTATTCATAACAATATTTCATATTTCAAGTTTTCTCACAGAGAAACCATAACAAGAACTATTTGTACAAAATGCAGATATTTGAATAGTAAAGCTGGTCAGAATGCCCATTACTACTTTTAGCATGCATGCTTGATTCTTCAATAGCTACCCAATTCTTTGCACATGGTTCCCTTATTAGGCCTAAATGCTCAACTAGTTGGGTGCAGAGTACCTGCTTAGCACTCTGATGTAATTTTCCTGCAGATGAAGTCTATTTCTAATATGGCTATTCATTCCACTGGAACTGATTCCCTATAAGGTGTAGGGATTGATTCTATGAGAGGTGAAGCTTGTTAAGGGCTGCAGAGTTTGTTTAGGTGCTGTGCTTGCACTTT